TTATGGTTTCGGTTGCTTTTTTTATTTTTCTGTTAAGTTTTTCTATTCTTTCTGTTGTTCTTTCCATATTAATTTTGCTTTCTATTATTTCAATAATTAGTGGCTTGTTCTATCTTAGCGTCTAATTCTTCCATTTCCCTGTTAGCATCTGCAATAAAACCAGCAATTTCATCATCTCCTTTTTCTCTACTTGCCTTTACATTATCTAATTCATCTTGCAATTCCGTATTCTTAGTTTGTAGTTCATCGCGTTCTTTTTCCATCGTTTCTAATTCCTTGTGGGCTTCTTCTAATTTATTCATTAGATTGCTAATCAACTCCTTTTTTTTGCTGATTTGCTGAACCAAAAGAGCAAGATTTTTTTTATTTTGTGCTTCTTTACTATTTTCCATTTTTTAACAAATTATTAATTTCGATATAATTTTCTAATTCATCAAGTTCAGCTACGACTTCTTGAAGTTCGGTCAAATCCATACTTTCTTCTAAGGATTTCTTTTCTTTTTTCAACTCTTCAACCTCATTCAGTAATTGTTGCCTTTGCTTTTCTACTTCTATTATCTCAGTGCGAGAGTTAGTAATTTGTTCTCGTAATTTATTCACTCCCCCAAAAATATTAGTTTTCAAGAGAGATAAGAACTTTTTGTCTGGTTCATCAGTCTCGTTTAGTTTTTCTTGTTGAGTTTCCGATAAAGGGAAAATTTCGGCTAAACTTTTGATGAAATTATAATAGTTGGCTTGTTTTAATTCTGATGATTGTAATTGATAATCTTTTTGTCGTAATTGTTCTTGTAAATTGTCTTTTTCTACCGCCAATCCCAGATTATTTTGATTAAGAATTAAGAGGGACTGTTCCATGTTCCGCACCCGTTTAGTTTGGTCTTGTTCAGTGGCTAATTGCTCCTGTAAGAGAATATTCTTCTGAGCCAGTTCTTGGACCATAACTTCTTGTTGCTGAATGTGTTGCTGATAGGCTTCTTGTTGTTGAGTTAAATTAAGAATACGGTCTTCTAATTCTTTAACTGTCTCGGGGGAAATCTCTATTACTTGATTAATTTCACCCATCAAATTATTGAGAGTAGTATCCAAACTTTTTTCACTCTCATTAAAAATGGCACCACTTAATTCTTCTTGTAAAGATTTAGCCGTTTTAGGAGTTTTTAATGCTATTTCAAAATCCAAAGTAGGGCTTTGTGGAAACGAAGTCATTGAGGAGGCTCGGTTATGGTCTGAATAAATACTGCTATAACGAGATAACATTCCATAATCCAAGGTCTTTCTTTTATATTTTTTGTTTCCTTCATCTTCCCTTTCCAAAGAATTAAACAAACGATAATTTTGGATTTCTTTTTTGTGCTTGGTTTTTAACTCCTGTAATTGCTTTTTGTATTCTTCGGCTTGTTCCAAAAGCGATTGTTCCAATTCAGCCCTTTCAATTTCATCTATTTTTTTATCATTCTTTAAACGAGATAGCTGGTTAATTAATTCTTGTTGTTTATGAGTAATTTCTTTATTTTCCTTTCATTGACTTTCTAATTCGGCTACTAGGGATTTGCTGTTTTCTACTTCTTTGTTTAGTCTTTCTGTCAAATGTCGAACTTGTTCATCCTTAACCAAATAGTCTGAACTAGTAAGTTTTAATTCTAAATGAACCCGCTCGTTCT